TCAGTTTTTGATACCGAATTGAGGCGTAAGCACTCTGCGCTTGCTTCTATTGGCCTAGGGGACCATTTACGAAGGCCTCGGTTCCATGGCATTTGAGCACCTGCAGTACATGGATGCAAAACCGCAGATATGGAGGCAGAGGCCGAACAAAGCCGTGTTCGTACACTTGCAGATATGCCGTTATCTGTAGGCTTATACATAAAAATAAAACTTATGAGTTAACTAGCATAGTGCTAGTTATTGATACCGCCACAGTGATATATAATCCTTTTCAGTTTTTAATATCAAATCGACGCGGGGTAAGCACCGCTCTAATGGTAACATATAATGTGAATGTTCTTCCTCAGCGGAGTACGAGACCGAAACAAGCAAGCAACATCACACGACGGTTTGAACAGACCCTAGTGATGACTGCTGCCGTGGAAATCCAATGGAAGCCATTACCGAGCGGCATACTCGGGCTGCCATCGAATGCTGCGGATTCAAACGTGCGTGCCTTATGCTTGGAGGTCAGTAAAGGAACTAGTTGAACAACAGACGTACAACTGGCAGTCAAACTACAGAAGGCTGTATTCAAGAAACAACGTATCTTCAACTAGCATGCGATATGTAGACTCACGCAAGGAAGAATCAAAGTCGATTCCTAGGAGAAGTTCGGTGAGGTATTCGTTGAATTTCCACATGGCAAGCAAGGAATTCTGGAACACCATCCGCCTGTTCTGAGGTGAAAAGATGAGCAGTCTTGAAGGACAGGTCTAGACACCCTCTTACCAAGGATGATGACATTCTTCGACGATGGAGGGAGTACTCTGAAGAACTACTTAACCCACGCAGCCGCAGGAAGATTCGCTTGTAGAGCAGAAGGGTACGGTACGGATATTACTATCTCTGTAGATGAAATTACACAAGCTGTGGAAAGCTTGAAAAATGGAAAAGCTGCTGTAATTGACGAAATCCGCCCTGAGATGCTCAAGGCATTAGGCGAACAAGGCATATGCTGTCTTACATGTCTGCCAAACTGCGATGACTGCGAGAAAGACGCCAGTGGACTGGAGAACGGGAGTTATTGTACTCGTATTCAGAAAGGGAGACTGCAAGGAATGCTCCAATTATAGGGGCATTACGGTATAAAGTCTACTTAAAGGTGCTAAAAGGAGGTGCCGCGAAATAACTGATTCCAAAATACAAGAGGAGCAGTGTGGCTTCCTGCCCAGAAG